GTGGTGGAAAATGAAAAGACATTATCAGTGAGTCAACAAACTGATTTTAGTTTGTTTGAATGGTGAAAGTAACAAATAAATAAACATTATTGTAAGCTGTAGTTCAGCAGATAGTAACAGAATAAGTTAAATGTTTCATATTCCGGATGTTAAAAAGTCTGTTTTCAAATGCTTGACTTACCACGGTTTGACTTCTTGTTAATTTTAGCAAGGAAAAAAAAAACAACTTTAAAACTTGAAGGTTTTATTGATTTCTGAACAACAGAGAGGAACCAGACAGCGTGTAAAATCCGTGATATTTGCAATTCTTAACACTCTGCATCTGGAGTCTGTGTCTGCCCTGAGAAGAAAACTCAGGAGGTCATGTGTTGATAGTACTGGTGGTATTTCTTAGCGTAAAATTGGATTAAAAAAAAAAAAAAAACACAATCCAGTGTCAGTTGTGTGCAAACAGTTTAGATTGACATGATTTCATGTTTTTTTTTTTCCTTTAGCATTTTTTTTAATTTTAACTTTTTTTACAGCTCTGACTGAATTCCTGAAAATTTAATATTAAAATTAAAATGAAGAATTAATCAGAGACACGATGACAACACTACAGTGGTCTGCGTTACATGTGTTCTACCCATCTACCCAAAGGTTCTTAGTGCTTCAGGCAGCATTAGTCACAAAATTACCTGACCTTTGTTGAAAAAAGAATGACATCTTTATTCTTAACATAGCACACAGAGCAGTCATTGCCCCGACCTTCTTCATTTCCTGTCTTCAAGCCCACTGGATAACTAGCAGTTGTTTTTGCAGGGCAGAGCCGTGACAGCTACTCTCGCCTCGACTCTTGCTGAAGTTTGTGTTTCCCCGGCGTTTCTGTTTAAGGAGACTTCAGGAATCGTGAATAGCTGTAATAAAGAAGGGTTTTCAGGAAGCACCAAGTATTAGGAAGTGGAGCCAGTGTAGGAAAACATAAAGTACTCGGCGGTTGTAGTCGATTAATGCAAACTTGGTCATAGTTTTGCAAATGCTGCAGTGGACAAAGCTTCGGTAACCGGATCTGTGGTAGCACAGTGAATAAACTTGGTGTTGGACAGAATGGAAACAGGACAGGGTGGCAGAGGCAGGCAAGCGGAAAGCCCAATTTCTAATTTCTTTCGATGTGCCGTGCCACTGTCTGCGCTGCAGCTTTGATCGCGGTCGAATAATGCACTTTGATGCTTAGGATAAAACACCAATCTTTTGATGTGTTATGCAGCAGGGACAGGAGTTTTATTTTTAGCTGCTTCATTCTGGGATAATGTTGATTTTCATGCTCCCCAAAATCTCACGAAGGATGCGTGTAAAAAACAAAAATCACCAGTAGCAACTGTTCTGCTCCTTAGTCTTTTTGAAATGCATAAATAACAAGGAAAAATGTTTTGATCCAGTAAGATTCAAACTCAAACTAATATTGGATCACGGGCTGCATACAACCTTATTAGATGTCAGGTGGACAGGACCAGTATAGATGTCAGGTGGACCGGACCAGTACAGTCATACCGAAATAAATTATAAATTACAATAAATTAAATTTTACAATTATATGAGATATTTATTATCATTTATTCATATTAAAACAATAATTATTTTACAAAAAATATCCTATGTTTGTGTATTTTTTTTATTTTTAAATTCATTAAGCAGGCCAGATTGAACACCCCAGCGGGCCGCTTTTGGCCCACGGGCCGTATGTTTGGCAACCCTGCTCTACATTATGTAACTGCTGAAAGATGTGGACTGCGGCCTTTAAGTGCGACACAAGTATTACACTTAACAGTTACAATAAATGACAACAAGGCACATTAAAGTGTCAGTCGGTACTTGCTAATCTGTAAACACCGACACCCTCAGCCATTTCCACGTATTGATGCCGGAGTCTTGTATTTGAAACAGGACGTCCCTGAAGGATTCATTACACGCTGTTTTACAGTATATTGAGTCAGGGAAAGTCAGGCTGATGAATGCATAGGTGGACTGGAAACGTAAGTGCATCTATTATTGAGATGTTGCCGGGAAATGAAGCTTGCGTCCGGTGATCCATTGAACAGAACCAGGATTTGAGGCTTGGCACACAAGAAAAGCTTAAAAATGATTTTTTAAATTAAATTATTTGAATTATTTTTTGAATTAATTAATCCAAAAATATTCCAAATATCTATTTTTTGAATTAATTAATCCAAAAATGTCTCAAATATTATTAGTTAAAACCTGGGATATCTGATGAAATAGGCCAACCGATATGATCGACCGATATTAGCAGTAACTATGTAATATCGGCTAGAATCATTATTGATTTTTCCTTCTCCAGCACACCTGTGCCTTTAACCCAAACAGCTGCATATATTGGTATCGATTGATATTGGAATCGGAAATTAAATCTTGGGACAACCAGCGGAATATTGGCTATACATTGGCAAAAAGTTAATCTTTAGTTAAAAAACAAGTCCAGTTAGTTTTACTCATTCCTTACCTTTAATAACACCAAGATCAACATAAGGAACTGGATTCAATTTCAGGGATATGATGCTGTAGAATAATTCAGACAAACCAAGGACCAAACCAAGGTGGTTATAAACCCACTATCTCCAAAGTATAGATCCAAAACTTCAAATTTCATCTGTACATAGATATATACTTTATTCGTCCCCTATAACCGCAGGGCTGGCCATATTATTTTCTTCTTTTTTTTATTTCGGTGAACTGCAGACTTTGAAAAAGAATACACAAAAAGAGTCTAACAAGAAGTAAAACCAAAGATAGACATTCATTTTCAGGCTGTGTCCTCTTGTTTCATTACCTTGTATTAAAGGTATCTCTGAAGCCTCTTTTGAATCCCTTTGATAGTGTCTTCTTCACACATGCAAATGAAAATCTGACTCCTTCTTCCTCTTTCTAATCTTCCAGAATGCAGATGACCTTTTAGTAGCATCGGCTGAGTGTCCCAGCGATGATGAAGATTTGGAAGAGTGTGAGCCTGGAAATGGTGAGTTAACTCAGGGAGTTCTGTTTTTTTTTTTTTCTTCTGAAAACTACTGCAGACTTACCCAGAGTGATGCTGTGTCTGTTTTCTCTCTGGTACAAAACACTTGGTTACCGTTCAGGTCTCTGTATGCAGCTCTGACAGGCCAAACATGTTGCTTCCAACCTCTTTTGTTATTGCTTTTTTTTAAGCAGCAGGCTTCCAGGGTCTTCAGCATTGCGGTCCATCAAGTGCTCAGCCATGTGCTATTATCTGGCATTTGCCCAGCTGTTGCACCAATCTTCTGCCCGAGCTTTAACAAGGTGGGACAGTTCCATTGTGGAAACGCAGCTTGTTCTGCTCAACACACAGCTGTAGGCTGGCAGGCCCAGCGGCAAGGCCCCATCAGTGTGAACAGCGGGTCTTGGTGCAATCTGACACCAGGGCAGGCAGTGGAAGTTAAAGGCTGTGTGTTTTAGTCCCTGCCACTGTGGCTTTCAGCTCTACTTTGCTGCCCATTGTCAGAGACTGCCCAGAAGCACACAGCAGCGAAAATTGAATCACTGTTGGCACTGTAGGAAAAGTTTGTAAAAACCCCTCCAAACAAAAGGATAAACATCCACATTCAGCCATGCATTGTTTCAAAACAGGAGGAATATATTTAACCTTTTAGTCTGCGGGGTTTGTTATGATTGTCCAATCCAATACAACCTTATTGAATTAACTTTTGAAATGATCGTCTGAGTGGTGTACAAAAAAACCAAAAAAAAACCTCACGTGGATAAAATACAGAGGATGTACAAAAGATGAGACCAAAACATAACGGTCATACAATGACACACACAGAGTGTCAAAGGCCAATTTAAAGGCGGGTTTTAGAGTAGTTTATTTAATAACTGACTGTAAAACAGAGTGTCTAATATGTGGGGCAGATCATTCCCTGATTTTGGTCACTGGCACATTGTTTAGCCTATTTACAGGAGGGGACACAAGGCGGCGTTAAGTCACCTAACTGTACCATTTTAGCTGAGCGTAAGGGTAAGAACTACGCTGAACCATAACCAAACCATAACCGAGCTAATCATAGTTAACTAATGAACTCTAAGTGAAGTACATCAGAATAATAATCAGACAAACTAAAGTTCAGTTAAATGTATCAAGCTTTTAGCATTTAGCATTACCTAGCATTATTTAAGCCACCTCACTACTTTACTGTGATGTACTCTCAAAACTTTAGGTACAACCTGTGATCTTATATCTCTCCATGCTTGCATTTTATATTTTCCTATTATTCAAAGTAGTTACAGGACTATGCGTTGCTCTGGAGTATAAGTCACACCAGCCAAAAATATCATAATGAAGAAGAAAACTACATATATAAGTCCCACCAGTGCCCTCTAGCGGCTGTCAATGTTGTCAATGTGACAATAACGAACATGTAAATCTTCAGTGGTAGAGCAGTAGCAGATACTGGTACACAAGCCTAGAGTGCCCTCTAGTGGTTGTCAATGTGAAAATAACGAACATTTAAATTTGTCAGTGGTACATCAGTAGCAGATACTGGTGCACAAGCTTAGAGTGCCCTCTAGTGGCTGTCGGTTTTAAAATGACGAACATTAGATGAAATTATATATTTTAATATATAAGTCGCAAACCCAGCCAAATGATGTTGAAAGGTGCGACCTATAGTCCGGAAAATACGGTACATCAACACAACTGGACTGGTAGGTTTTTCAGACGACGTTTTGCCTCTTGTTTCTTCGTAATGGTGAAAAAAAAAAACCTTTAGTTAGCAAATAGCAATTAATGACCTAGCAAACATGAAGGACTAACAATCTTTTTAAAACTGCGGTAAACATACAATATTATGTGTGTCTACTTTTGGCTCGTTATCCTTATTAATAGTAATTAGAATGTAGGTGTGGGGAGATCCTGGTCTGACCCCTTATAGAGTTTCTGTGCACAGAACGTGTAGCGTTCTCCTGTGCTCCATGTAGGTGGTTTGAACAGAAATAGAGGCTCAATTTCCTTCTTATCACTGAGAAGAACTGAGAGGTTTTTTTTTTCCAGTGGATGCTATTAATCTCCTGTAGAGAAAGGCAAGTCTCTCTCTCTTCCTCCCTCTCTCCCTTTTCCTCTGTCTCTCATACCCACACAAACCCACAAATAAACAGGCTGACACTTGTCCCTCTGACGCTGTGGGTTTGAAGTTCGCCCTGTGCGGCCATTCCTCCGGAAAAACAACAAACACACTTGCACACTTCTCGTGACACGTCCTTACGGATGCTACGTGTCAGGTGAGGGGAACAAGCAAGATAGAATAAGCCAGAGTGAGCACAGGTGACAAGGAAAAAAAAGACAGGAATGGACAATATCTGCAAAACAATTTTCCCTCTTGGTCATGTTGTGTAAACCAGGCCTTTGGTCATTGTGTGGCTGCAGCTATCCTCAGTGTTTTCAATTACATGTGAGAATGCCCTTTATTAAAGTGCCAGGGAGGCAGAAAAATGGAAAGCGCAGTTGCAGATTTTCCATTAAGCTAAGCCAGATATGACTGCGGCGAAATCACGGAGATCAATACAACTCCTTCTTACAAAGGGCCAGTGTAGCAGCATCTGCTACACAGTGGTGTTCACCTGCAGCCATGGTATTGAAACACACAATTGACCATCATGACATGTTTTACTACAACACCACTTTCTGTCAAAAAAAAAACCAAACAATTTAGTATTGAAAAATGATCCCTGGAAAGCTTAAATGTTTTTTTTTCCGGCCGGGCACAGCATCGTGTTTGCTGATGGGCCAGGAGAGGAAGGGAACTGCACACAGAACAGGAGATAAAAAAAAATAAAAAAAAGATGGTGAGACTGACCCTTATTGGGATTAACGTCACGTTCCTTTGCGCTCGGAGCAGAACAGAGAAGAGGGGAGAGGTGAGACGCAGAGATGCAAAGAGAGAAGAATCTAAGAGAAACCGGGTTCGGAGTGAATATTGTGCGATCAACTCCTGCCTTTCCCTTCAGGCTTGTTAAACTTTGACTTTGTTAGGGTGCCTTAATTGCATCACTCACTTAGCTTTGCGTTAGATTCTTCAGCGGCGCTAATGAGCCTCTGTCAGAAGAACAAAAACAACCAGTGAAAAGATGGCTGGACTGCAGAGTTAGGTTGTGTAGCAGAGACGATATCCTTTGCACGTCTACGTCATCACATTTAAATAGAGAGACCGTAGCAGAGACGATATCCTTTGCACGTCATCACATTTAAATAGAGAGACTGACTGTTTTTCTAACGGTGTTTGAGAGAACATTATGCAACATCCTCATTAACAAAAAAAAAAAATCTCTGTATCTCTCCTTAGGTATTCTCTCTACCTCAGGATGACCTTATTTATCTTGTCTCTCGCATACCTCCATCTTACTTATCAGTCCACGCAGTGTTGCTGGCACTGTGTGGACTTTGACAAGATCAGAGTTTGGAGAAGGTTTCTCAATAATTCATAACGTGACATACTGTAGAGACAACCTGCAAATGTTCCTTTTCTGTCGAGAGCTGCTAGATTGGCTGATAAATGAGGGATGACCCGGAGCGCTGAGTGACTCATACTGCTCGCTGGCTTTTGGGGTCGACTGTGTCTACGTCGTAGTGACACATTACAAATAATATAAATACATGCTACGTCGTAGTGACACATTACAAATAAATAAATTAATGCATGACGGAATGATTTGTCCGTTGACGCGTAGGCCAGAAATTAGCTTCAACCATTTAACTATAGCTTGTCAGATGTTGTGCTACTGGTTTTTAGCTATTTTTGAACGACATGTTGAGCGACTAGCTCCGCACTTTAGATTATTGGGTTTTAAACATGTTTTAATGAGTCAGGTAGTTCTAATTTCAAGTGCCCCCCATGGGCCATCAATTTTAAGTGGACTGAAAATCGCAGGAGTAGTAAACCTAGAGAACAATTGAACAACTTGGAAAATACTATAAATAGCCAGAAGTGCTGAAGAAAAACTAGAGGAAAGTCAGCATAGTTATGAATACTGTATAAATACTAAATAATCTTATCGTTAATAAAATATCATATTAAATAGCTATGTATTCCCATTAAATGCCCTTTTATATGTTATTTTTCCATATTATTTATTAATATAAACACTTAGTGAGGATGCTTTTTCAAACAAAGATTTTGCAGTGTTTATGTTGATGTAAAATTGGTGTAACAGAGTCGATTTTCTTACACTCGTATGTAATATTAATTTTCATTCAGACGCCCTACAAACACTTGAGTTATTACATACGTTCTACAAACTCCAATCTGATGTAACCCACAGCAACGGAGAACATGCCTCAGCCGGGGGGTTTTTCTCATCGTACGGAAAACTGTAAACAAGTACTGGGTATCTCTCCCTTGCATATTGCAGAAAGAAGAAACTATTCACCCTCACTGCATAAACTCCTAATTGTTTTCGTTTTTTTACCACTTACATTTCCCAGAGGCCATTTAGCTCTGCACTGGCTGAAACACAAGCGTTGACCAATTTGCTGTAACAAATACAAAACATAATAGTACCAATACGGCACAAAGATTTCACAAAGTCCGTGGTTCCAAAAACTTTCTGAACTATTGTTGAGCCCTACTCCCAAGTCAAAATACCCACAGCTGTTACCTCAGTACTTCAGTGAATGTTATGGGTATCCAGCCTGTTTGAGGCTAAATACCAGAACTTCCCAATAGTCAGTTAGAATTGAAGAAGCCTCTCGGATAAGAGGTGAAACATCTTTGAGAAACCTACTCCGTCCAGTTGCCCTCGATGTAACTATTTTTGGATTAAATGACCTGGATGACTGAGAATCTACACAGACGTGTTCACTGGATGGTATCCAAAACTACGTTATCATAAAACAAAGAAACTAAATTTGTAAACCAGTGCTGTTTCTCAGGTTTGAAGAAAAAAAAATGAAGTTGACATAGAAACACTACACATTGTGTCTATACATCCAATATCCACCATGAACCACTAACTGAGGCAGTCAGTGTCTACAGACGCTGCAGGAAGCCAGCTTTCTACCCATAATACTGGTTGTATTTGACAGTACTGCCTGTCTTAACGCAGAGTCAACCGTTAACAGTTATCTGTTAGCATTAAATATGGCTTTAGGAGCTCAAAGTGGCTCCTCAGCCACAGGTCACAGACCCTGAAGGCCAGTTAAGTAGTGACTTGTCAGAACTGTAGTAACTATGGCTGGGAGACAAGACATTTTATGAGCAGGGCATGATCCCTTTGTGTTACTATAAATCTCTTGGCCCTGGAGCGATGGCAGCAGATGCAGTTTTTTATGAGCTCACATGTGTGGGGAAAAAGCAGCTATTGTGTTCTTTTCTAAAGCACATGTCATTGAGTAGTATAAGTGTATACCCAGCGTGGTTTAATTCAAAGAACAGCAAAGGAAATCTGACACAATCTGACACATTGTTTCTGTTTCCCATTTGCAGCATAATTAGAGCTCAATTAAAGAATGCTTAAATCCTCGCATCGAATGGGTGCAAGCTGAAAATACTGTATAACAATGTCTGTTTATCATTTGGTTTATAAAAAATCTAGGGGTGACTCATGTAGGGGTATTGTGTAGGTAACAAAAATAAATAAATAAATACCCATGCCAGCATTAGGCAGTATTTGTGCTCACTGGTGTCAGTGCTAGTGGTATATTTCTGTTCCACAAAACCACAAAAATGTAACTTTTAATACTTAATTAAAGTAGCAATCAAACATCTTACCATAATGCAGTACTTCTCAAATAGTGGGGCGGGCCCCCTTGGGGGAGCGTGAGAAAAGGAAAGTGAACTCCTTGTCATTGTGACACACCACTGCACAAAACGAAATTCAACCTCTGTTTTTAACCCATCACCAAAGTGAACAGTAGGCAGCTTTGAGCGCCCGGGGAGCAGTGTGTGGGGGCAGTGCCATGCTCAGAGCACCTCAGTGGTAGCAGCTGGTGGACTCGAACCTCAAACCTTCTGGACCCAAGTCCACTTCTTTAACCACTAAGCAACACTCCCCTAAAGGGGGGTGGTGGGGGCTCCCAATGGTATATGGCACTCTGGACATAAGTGTACCACTGCTGTAATGCTCGAATGATAACAAGCCTCCAGTCACTAGGTGGCAGCAACTCATACAGTGGTTTGTACAGATAAAAATATACTTATCAAAATGTCATGTCGAGTCAATTTTTTTTGTACAGCCCAAATTCTGAAAGCACCTTTATTACATTACATTATAATTGAATCCAACACCATCATTTTCCTCTGGTTTTGTTTCACTCTGTGTCTTTCTTGGGCAGTTTAATGGCAGCTGAACGTTGAAGGTCTGTTGTTTGTGCTACTTTCTTTTTTCTCACCCAATAAAACCTCACTAGCCTGCGTTTGAGTCACTAAAACTATGACATTAAGACACATTTAGTGTCGACGTCGCAGCTGCATACAGAGAAACTATGGATGCAAGAAATCTGGGTCAGACAAAAGGAAATTAAAAGATGGTTTTCTTGATGTGAATCTCTGTGCAAGGGCTGAGGGCCTTGTAAAGAACCACTGTCGGCCATTTTTGCCAGACTCAAGCATGAGTTGAACAGCAGAGTGTGTGTGGGGTGTTACATACATTTTTTTTACGGTGTCAAATTCATTTTGGATCAGGGGCCACATACAGCCTGATTGGATGCCAAGTGGGCCAGACCAGTACAATCATATAGTAATAAACTATGACTAAAAATAAGTCAATTATTCCTGCAAATAAGTGCATTCGAAAATATTCATATTTAATTAATTATAATTTGACAAAAAATCACAAAACTGAAGTTTGTGCATTTTTTTCACTTTCAGAATTCATCAAACGGGCCGGTTTTGGTCCGCAGGCTATATGTTTGACACCCATCTCTAGAACCTAAACCCATCCTTTGGTTTTAAACAGAATATAAATGTATTTTTAGGCAGATAAAGACAATGTTCCTATTTTGTCAAAGCTACCAGACACCATTCCAGCCAGTCATTTTACTGTCCATGTGTGCTGTGATGTATGGAGTGGAGGTAACTCCTCAGTAAGGGGTGGGCTGCACCCTCAGCAGTCGATATAAAGAGTCAAATTGCCCTTTCAGCATCTGAGCAGCAAACACCTCCACTTTAGTCCCACATTAAGCCTATATCCCGGAGGATTGTTTTCCTTTCTTCTCCAAATTTGACAGGTTATTTCACTAAACCATAGAATCTGCCATGAACTCACTGAATCTTACAGAACGCAGTTTTTTTCTCTCCTGTGTTATTCAGACATACCACTGTGCTCTGCTGTCCTCAGAGCAATCAAGGTGAAACCCAGCCCTCAGACACAGCACATTTCACAGAGAATAAGAAAAAAACAAAAAAAACAACATGAGCATTGCCATGGAAACCATATTCTTCAGTATGGGACCTAACCTCTTCCTTTGCAGCACTCACGTTTTTATTGCCTGATTTCAAGGTCTGTTTCTGTCCAGTGTGATGATGTAAAATGTTGTCGTGGCTTTGTTAACCTTATGCTTTGTCTCAGTAACAAAGCCGATGTTATTCTTTGAGTGAAAATGTTTGGCTGTGTAAATGTGGGGTGTGGGCGGGTGGGTGGGTGGAGAGACTGCGGGCTTGCTGAGCTGCATCACAGCCACTGGGTCAGACAGAATTCTAGCAATCAGAAATCCTGACACTTCCCTCAATGTTCCTCGAGAGTCTGACCTAGAACTTATCCCGCTGAGTCACTCTGATTTATCCCATTTAAATCATGATCAAGAGCTGGAGTCATGATTTAAAGCAGGTGCAAAATGGAATCTTTCAGTATTTTAATATTTCCATGACCCCCTCCCCACACCCTTACCCCTCCACCCCCCAACAGAGACATATTGTATGTCTTAATGCAAAGTGAGTTGATTTATGACTGATATTCTGCCATGTCTTAATTAACAACAATTTTCCCAAACATTCTTTCTCCACTACAAAATGAAAAAGATTATTTTTTACTTTTATATGATCCTAATGCAACCTGGCAGTTTATGTTATGTGGGGTGAATTGGATCATGGTTACTGGTGGTGGCTTTTCAAAACAAATGTGTTTCTATTAGTGTTTGGGAGAGAGAAATGTATTTTTCCTCAGTGAACTCTGAAAGGTCCTGAGAGTTTTAATTGCAGCCACTTTTGCATGTGAGCCATAGAGACCACCATGTGGAAATTGAATTACCACCAGTAGCTTCTATATTTTTGCAGATTGTTGCTTTTCTGATTTATGCAATCTTAAAAAAGAGGAGGGGTTAAAGGTGGGAGTGTGGGGGTTGTTTATCACTATCAGAGAACATTCTTACACAGCTTTCTTTTTGTAATTTTTTTTTTCATGCAAAAATCATGCGGCCAATTTGTTGATGTAAGTGACCTGAACCTCGTGGTTTGCTATTTTACTTAACCAATCACAGCAGACACATGTATGCGTTAGCATAGTGAGCATAGACTAGACTAGACCAGAAAGTTAGCAGTGAAGGATAGCCTGTTTAGCACAGTCGATGTTGTTGAGTGTATTAGCTAGTTTACTTTAATCCTGTGTTAGTCATGTTAGACATGTAGGAGTGTGATGTGCAGGGAGCTAGGAGTAGGTGCACAATAATCTCACATGTTGTAGTATTTCAGATTACAGATAGTAAGCTTATACACTCTGTAATAGCACAGGCTAATCATGCATAACTAACCTCATGATAAGTTAATGCTGTTCTAATACTGGTGTTGATGTATTGATTTAAACTGACTGCATTGACTCGT